TGCCCAAAGGTCTTGGTTTTGGGTCCTCTGTTGGGTTGTTGAGAACACTTTTGCCTGAACAGTTTAACAGCTGATACTAACTTATAGAATTCTAGAAAGTTAGTCTTCATTTTATATTTAGCGGTAAATGCAGTATAGCTTAATATAGAATTTCCGTCCGTATCAAGGATGTCTTTAACATCTTTCACACCGGCGGTGAACCAAGATTTATAGAAAATTGGTTTGTTCTCTATTCTTATGAGGGAGTTGTGCCAGTTCTGAGCTGACGTGAAATCTAGATTGTTGTCCTTATAATTTAGGGTCGTCCAATATTCCATAATGTCAGCTAAAAATGGATCTCGCAGATTAAGTAAACGACCGTCTTTAGGGCTTAAGTTTCCCCAGAAAACTAAATGATTTCCGTCCAAATTGTGCTAGTCGATGATTGAAAAAAAGCCTCCATTTCCCTGTATCTTGATCATCTAAATAGCTTTTTACCCATTTCATTTTTAAGGCCTGGTTAAAACTAGCAATATCGATCATCTTTAGCCCCCCCTTACTGTAATCGTCGATCATTTCTGTTCTTTTTATTTGTCCCCTTTATTGTCCCAAAGAAAATCGTATAACAGAGCGTTAATTTCCTTAATGACCCCTTTCGGTGTCGGAAGGGAGGACAAAACGTAAACAATCTGAGATACTGCTGGAGCTTTTTTTAGAATGGCAATTTTACCCATAAGTGTGAGTCTTCTGGCTGACCAGCTCCCGAGGATTTTTTTAATCTTTTCGATTTTCTCAGTGAAATTATTGTCCATATTGGCTGGCCTCGATGTCGAGAACCAAACTCCTAAGGCGTAGACCTTTCCTTCAGTCCAAAAGATAGGTTTACGCGAAGGAATAACAGCATTAGTATTCTTGTGTGAACCTATCCAGAGGGCTTCAGTTTTCTCATAGTTTGCTTTCAAACCTGATACATTTGCAAATATGTCTAATACGTATAATGTTCTCGAAAAAGAGCGTTCTGAGCCATCTAAGATCATTGTTGTGTCATCTGCATATTGGGACAGTTTACAATCTGAGTTACCCAATTTGATACCGCGAATTTCTGTATCCCTTCTCACTGCGTTACCCAAGATTTCAGCACCTAAGATAAATAAATAGGGAGACAGTGGGCACCCCTGTCTTACTCCACGATGTAAAGAAAAGAATGTTGGATGCACATCCATTGTTAAGGACACAGCTACTTATGTTCGTATAAAAAAGTTTAACCCAGCTTACCAAGGATGTTCCAAAGTTAAAGTGTCTTAGTGTTTGCTCTATAAAAGACCACTCTACACTATCGAAGGCTTTTTCAAAAACTACAAATAACAAAAGGCCCGGGATTTGTTCCATATTTGTGTGGTTAATAATACTCTCAATAAGTCTGATATTTTCTCCTATAAATCTGTTTTTCAAAAAACCGGTTTGATCATTATTTATTATGTTCGGCAAAAATTCCTTTATGCGATTTGCTATGGATTTAGCTTCGATCTTGTAGTCGCAATTGAGAAGAGTTATAGGTCTCCAGTTCTTTAAACGGTTAGCCGGTTTGTTCTTTTTTGGTAAGAGAGTAATTAGACCTCTTCTTTGAGAAATCGATAAACAACGTTTTTCATATGCACAATTTAGTGGATTAAGTAAGTAGCCTTCAATGTCTTCCCAGAAAACTTTATAAAATTCGGCTGGAAGGCCATCAGTCCCAGGAGTTTTGTCCGATGCCATAGTTTTTAGACTATTTAGGTATTCCTCTTTTGTTAAGGGCCCTTCGCATTCTTCCTGCGCGTGTTGGTCGAGTTTTACAGTAGATTCTTCAGAGAACGAGAAAAAGCGTCATGAGCAAAGATATCAGGCGCGCGTGATGCATATAAGTTTTGATAGAAAGATTTTGCTTCTGTTAAGATTTCCTCATCTGTTTTGATGACGCTACTATTCTCAAGCTGAAGTTGCCTTATGGTTTTGGTATTAAAAGAGGGTGTGAATGGGGTTAACCGACTAGCCACAAAGGGCTAAAATATTACTGACTACCGACAAAACGAGTAAAATATTAACCGACTACCGACATGGGCTGACATTATCAATGTTTGTTTCAGAAAAAAAGAGCATTTTGCATTTTTTTTCCAGCCGTTAGGAAGTAACCTCTTTAAATTTATGACTCATCAGATGGTCTAACAGAAAGAACTTACTCTTTTGTTGATACGGCTACATTACTACAACCAATATCATAATCACAGAAGCCACAGTCCTTAAAGATGCTACCGACTTTATATATTTTATTGAAAAGACAAAGCTGAAAAAACTGAACATTTCTTGATTCGATCTGAGAAATGTTTAGATTAATCCTGAAAGAAAATTCTTTCCAGTTTAATGGAAAGCACTATCAGTAAGAAACCACAGTACCGCGATGAGCACATACAGCAGTTTCCTTTCCAACATTTTCATGGCCGCATATATTGAAACACAACGTTTAAGCAAAACCGTCTTTAAACCAACTGTTTGAAAATGCTACATAGATGATATTTTCTCCCTATGGGACATAAGTAAACCAGACATGGTAGATTTCTTCAAATTCACGGAGCAAGTAAACTTACTTCACCCTACTTCTCTACTGGCTATGAAATTTACGCCCGAAATATGTGACACTGAGACAATCTTTTTATACCCCGTTGTATACCAAGGCACAACATTCAACGAAAAATGAGAAAAAGCTATCATTGACGTAAAGACGTATATACATTTTCACCTCTTACCACCCACCGAATGTTAAAATGGATTTGGCCTTGAGTATCCTACGAACAAACTCCTCTGAGGAAGTATTCAGATTTCAAAAAGCGGTTGATGAACAGAGGCTGGCCACATAATTTGAAATAAAAATTGCTATTAGAAGTAAAACTCACAGGAGAAAAGCAGCGCTCCTGAAACAAAACAACAAGGAAGAAAAAGAAATATTGCCTTTCGTGACACAATACAAGCCCTTAGTGTCTATTATAAAAGAAACTTTAACGTAAAAGTGTAATCTCATACAAAACCAACCACTACCTTGCCAACTTAACCCTCAGACGTACACGCAAAATCATACCCCCACCATGGTACAAGAGGATGGTAGATGGAACCCCTCCCCAGAGTTTTTGATATGTTGCAGTATTTTGAAGCGATTTTGCCTTCACTGAAAAGCCTTTGATCTTCTTAACAAGATGAGGTATAATTTATGAATGGTGGCACTGCTGGAGGCCTGTTACGTCACCAACGATGGTCGCCATCTTTTCCGCCATCTTGGATATTACAAAGAATTACAAAACAGGTTAAAACAAAGAGAAATGTTTATTGCTTGACACGAATAATAACACATAAATAAGCACTTTGCATGATTTTAGCTACAAGATTTTTCTTTTATTGTTGAAAAAAGTTGAAAAAAAACATATTTTAACTCAAAATGGATTGACAACCTGCTACTTATTACGTCATACCTCGTAACCATAGAAACTGATCATCACTGAAGTTTTCTCAAAATGCGTGCGAGGGATAAACGAACATCTACTGAAAACCTCAGGTGCTGATGTTTTATCCTCTTGGAAAAATCCCAGAAAACCTAAAGGGGGTGGCATCCACCCCCCACCCCTTGTATGTCCGAGGGTTAAAGTGTTATTTCTTTGAGGAAGGAAACTTATGGCAAAGGATAGATGTGCAGCCCGTCACCCCTTGCAGTTTTCCACTAAGCTGATAATTTAGGTATCCAAAAGGCTGGTGTCCATTAATTAATTAATTACTTTTTACTGTGCCGTGTAATCGACAGGGAAACCAAGTTCGCATTTACAGTAAAACGTTTGGTGATCTTATCAGTACGCATGATATTCATTTGGCAAACAATGGTGAAATAAAAGACCAGAGGAGCCGATCGGCTCCTGAAGATCATGTTGCATAAACAAACAAGAGTTATTGAAGTTTAAGTGGCAATCAAATCATGCATTCTTACAAGTTTCACTATTCCCTTGGGATCAAAGTCTTGAAACTTGGTGAAATACATAAAAAATATTAATAATTAACAAGCGTTTTTACTTATTAACTGAGATTTTCGGACAACCAACAAAAATCAAGAAGTTTAACCGACTACCGACAAAGATCGAAACTTTTAACCGACTACCGACAAAGTAACTGAATTTTAACCGACAACCGACAAATGGACCCCCCCCATTCAGACCCTCTTAAAATGCCTTTTTTTCCAAGTTTAAGAAGTACCGTAAATCCTCTATTAAGCCCCCCGGGGGGGTTATTTTTTCGAAGCACTTTTGAGGGGGGGCTTAAAAGAGAGGGGGGGCGTATTGAATTTAGCAAAACGCATCACCTGTAGCAAAAATACCGTGGTATGAGACAGAGTAGACTTACGCGTTGTACAATTAAAGTCACTGTCAAAAGCATTTATTTCACTTGTGGGAGCCTAAAAGTAACAAAAGCGAATTTTTATTCTTCAAAAATGTTCTCCACAGAGAACTAGAGCGCAAAGTTGAGAAAGTTAAGCATATGAAGTTGGAGGTCATGCGGCCAAAGATCAAAAACAATATGAACTTTCAGCTTGAATAAACCATAACTGATTAGTCCACGTTAATCGTCAATTTTTTTGTGGAGAATAAGGATTGGGGGAGGGGGAGGGGGGCTTAATAGAGAGGGGGGCTTATTAACTTTCCTCCTCTAAAAAGGGGAGGCTTATTGGAGAGGGGGGGCTTATTTGAGAGGGGGGGCTAAATAGAGGATTTACGGTATTTCGTGTTTTTTTCTCCTTCGTTATGCCAGCGGGCTTTGGATCTTATCATGGCTCCTCGAGTCTGACGCTGGACAACGTTTTCTAGCTGTAATTTTTTAACTTCTAATTCATTATATATAGTGGTCTTGTTGGTTTCAGATAAGTCATTTTCTTCCAGTTTCCTCTGTAGGGACGTTATGACAGACTCCAGATTTGTTTCTGTTAACTTCATTTTGCCTCTCTTATGTTTTGCGTATTGTATTGACTTTGAACGAATTTGCATCTTCATTGTATCCCAAAGGAGCACGGCATCAACCTCAGTGTTATTTCGGCATTCATTTGCAACTTCAGTGATTGTTGTTTTTATCAAATTAATATATTCACTGTCTGATAGAAAAGACGTATTTAACTTACAGAAGCCCGGGCCCCTGGGATTGGTATTGTTTGCAAGGTGGAGCGTTATCAAAGAATGGTCTGTTTTGTACCTTAGTAAAAAAACAGCTGTTGTAATTGCCGAACTTAGACTATTACTCGTCAAGAAAAAGTCTAAGCGACAGTGAATTTCGGGCTTGCTTCTTCTCCAAATGAATCTTCTGATATCCGGATTGGAGACCCGTCAAATGTCGATAAGGTCTAGCGAATTTATTATGTTCTGAACTTCCTTCAAAGAATTTTTGTGAGTGGTCAGTCTTCCTCCCTTCTTATCATTTTGGACGTCCAATACTAGATTAAAATCGCCACCCAGGATAATGTCCTCGCACTCGAAAGAGAGGAGGTGGCTGGGAACGTTTTTAAAAAAATTCGGATTGTCATCGTTTGGTGCATAAATGTTTCCCAAGGTTATAGTCTTATTTCCAAGTTTCAAATCTACTAAAATAAATCTTCCATCTGGATCAGAAAATTGTTTCTTGATTTTGAACTGAAAATTGTTGTTAAACAGAATGCATACCCCTGCACTTGAGCTAGAAACACTACTAAAAATAGCTGAGAAGCCCAATTCTGATGACCACAGTCGTTCTTTTTCTTTGGCAGTGGACTTCTTGAAGAAAGAATATTCCAACTTTTTTCATTCTAAGCCAACGAAAGGTTTCTCGCCTCTTAAGGTTGTTGGATAAGCCCCTCACATCAAGAGAACAGATTATCAATTCGTCAATTGGGCATGGGAACGTGTTGATGATTAAAAGTTAAGTAGTGAACTGGAATGCAGAAACAAAATGCAAATTACGATAGTTAACACTTGGTAGGACTGAAAAATATTTTCTACTGACCGAAAAAAAAACAAAACAACGGCTACACTGGAAACATAAAACTATAAACAAAAACAAAAAAAGGTAAAATTTAAGCGGCTTAGGGAGAAAATACCTTGAAACAGAAAGATCGACGACTCCGGAAAGGACGGAACGCCAAATAGTTTAACTTTAGAACTTACAATATACAAAAAGGAAAGAATTCGTTGTGTGCAAACGGCGAAGCAAACGTGGAGTACTAGTCTCAGTCTTAAAGATTGCAATAGCAATTAATGAACATAGGTACGTTAAACGTGCATGAGCTATTTTGAATGCTTCAGTGTAACTTTAATGCTTCAGTGTAACCTTACCAAGAGTGATGAATCTACGTTTTTCGTCCTAAATGTAGACTGGGTTTTTGTGCGAAATTGAGCATTGCCGTAAATAAATGAAAACGCGAAACGCTCAGCTGCGTCGATCCTCATGCTACTTTCCTCTGTCTTTCCCTGTTACATTTGGTGCAATTTAAACAAATTGTTAAAGTAAAATATATGTCTACTCACCAAACGTTGATTAGAGGGAAAACTCTAAGGTTTCCTCGGAGTTTCTTGAGCCAAAATGTAACTCATCGAATTCGAGTAGTTACGAAATACCAGGATTTTTTATCATTGTGGTATATGGTTGCATCATCACAATTCACGAGGTTTTCACGTGCGATTCTACTCAGTGAAACAGTGTTTAACTCTGACAACTTATTTCTTCATGTTTTAAAAGCTATTGCAACTTAAAAGACAAGAGTCTTTTTTAAGGCATTGGTTACAAAAGCTTACAAAACAAAATAGGTCTTCATACGTTCAAGTCACTATTATTATTGTGAAAAGCCAATCTGCATGAGATGTACAGTCACACAACTGGCACGTGAAAGTGTTGGACTTTGCCCCCTTTCGTGGTTCGTACGTGAGGGAATTCGAGTTATCACACAGTAATCGAGTAAACAGAATTATAAAAATAACTCATGCACACAATTTGCACGTGAAGATGTTGGTCTTTGACCCTTTTACAATTCGTACTTTAAAAAAAACGCAAATTGTTTACTACAAAATTTTCTCAAACGATTTTAAGAAATCACCTCGGCTTCATTACAACAGCTGCAATTAAATTATGTTTCATGCAACGTCAAGGTTGATAGCCTAACAATTATTAACTTCCAAGAAAATTATCAAACGGCCGAAATATATTTCTGCTCATATTATCATGTTACTCCACTCAATAAAGCAGTACCTAATTATTGTGTCAACTAGCTTCTTCCAATTTTATTCCCTAACGCTACTGTTTCTACTTAAGTTTATACGCATCTTTACTAAATAAAATACGTTTCAATAACTATAATGCTTAGTATGCAGGAAGGATGTATCATGTTGTTCACTTATTATTCCTTTTTGTTGTTGTTTTGCCGGAACGAAAAAGGTCTGTTGAACTTTGTGAGCGAGAGAATAATATTTCTACAGCTTGTTTACAGGATTA